GACAACACCGGTAATACCGGTATCACCGCGGGGGCGTTCCCTCTTTTCCTCACTTTCCTTCGCTTTTAAGCTTTTTTCCTTTTGAGCTTTTTAAATAGCTTGTAAAAGCGGTGTGCGCATTTCACTTTCACTTTCAAATAGCGGCAATTCGGAGTAAAGCAATTGTTGTAAGAAAAAAAAGCACATAGAAAGCATCTAGAGCAGGGGTTCTCAACCCTGGTCCTGGAGGGCCACTGTCCTGCAGAGTTTTGCTCCAACCTTGATCAAACTCACCTGCCTGTAGCTTACTAATAATCCTGAACAGCTTAATTAGCTGGTTCAGGTGTGTTTGATTAGGGTTGGAGCTAACATTTGCAGGACAGTGGCCCTTGAGGACCAGGGTTGAGAAAGCCTGGCCTACAACGTCAAACTCACTTAACTTTCAAATGTATCTAGTATGATAAAACAGCGCTGCTTTACCCCACATACGCACGACCGGAAGGAGCGGAAGCGGTCGACTGTGGCATAATAAAAGCTCCGCTGGTTTTGAGCCGTGTGTCGTGCTCGTTCAGCGCCTCGTTTCGCTTCGACTGCTTTCAGCCTCACCCTGCTTCATTCTACTATGTTAATAAATCATTAGCTCATCCATGAACATGATTTCTGCTCGAGTCCCGTCGGATTGCATCGGCTGTGGGGATGAAGACGACAAGTCCCATGATTCCACACTCAGTCACGGCGTCATCAAACTACGCCTTTGTCTCTTTGTTTATTTTGAATACGCGCCCTCTAGCGGCGAAAATGACATATTGTGCCTTTAATTACTAAAGTAAAAAGGGTCACTTTTGAACTTTGTTCATGTTTTTAGCTGAAACTGGGATTTGAGAGGGGAAAACCGTGTGAACTGCACCTGAAGTGTGGAGGTGAGGAAGTTGTTCTGGGACACGATGTCCACAAAGAAGTCCGGAGGGATTTCTCCCAGCTGATGGTAGAGGACAGCGATGAGGCCCAGATACAGATCCTTCCTCTCCTTCATGGCCTCCTCGGAGCGGCACAGCAGAGCCAGCAGGCTTTTCCAGTGCTCGAAGGCCTCGTACACATTCCCAATGAGAAAACAGACAAATGCAAACTGCAGCTCTCCTGCAAACATGGAGATAAACAGTGACGTTCTATTATTTCGGTGCACAAATTATAACTAGATTTCTAAACGTTCCCTTGTCTCAATTAAAACCAATGGCGATGCATAATATTACAAGACCTCAAGCTACCCAACTAGATGTAAATACAACTACATTTATGGGCTTTTTATAACAAAATGAGCATCCTTTCAGGTTTAACAGGATGTTTGGTTAGTAAACTGAACAGCAACCAATGCTCACCCAGTATATTGAGCGGCTGCTCTTTATAATAGCTCTCAAGCACGCAGTTTAGAGCGTAACTCCAATCCATACTATACTGGGTGATCTGAGCAGGTGTAGATCCAGGAGGATACGCCTGTTCGGGAATGTTGGAAAACCGTAGCTCCGTGCCTTCCCTTAGTTTCATCCGTGGCAGTCTGTCCAGCCCCTCCTTCATGCTCCGACACTCCTGATCATTGCGGGGCAGGTTCTGCTCCTCGCGGTCTTTAGTGTGGGTCAGCTTCAGCTCCGGGACGACGTCGCTGAAGGCGCACACCCTCCCGCTGAGGGGCTGCAGAGCGATGGCAACCTCCTGACTGAGTCTGTCGGTCAGGGAAACCCACTTGCGGAGAGTGTCGTAGGGATAGGGGCCCAGATAGCCATCCAGTTCTCTGAGGTTGGCCCGCATGCGCTCGGCCTCCTCCGGGTCCCGTGTGAACTCCAAATCATCTTCTCTCTGGTTCCAGTGGGCTACAAGCACCTCCCGGGGTTTCAAGGACAGAAACAGGCCTGTTTTGGGGCCAATTTCACCACATGCTTCATTGGAGTTGGTGGAGCAGTAGTGGAGGAAGTGAAGTCCTGGAGGAATCATCTTCACCCCACGGAACCGAGGGCCCAGGGTCCAGGTTTTGTAGTCGAGTCCCAGCTCTGTTCCCTCAGGAACACCAAGTAAAACAAGCGTGGCTCCTTCTTCAAACAAGCCCCGAGCCACCTCAGGGTCCATATCTGTTCCCGCCATATCTGTTTAAAACAGGGGTCACAAACATGTTATATTATATGTGACCCTGGAGCACAAAACCAGTCATAAGTCGCTGGGGTATATTTGTAGCAATAGCCAACAATACATTGTATGGGTCAAAATTATAAATTTTTCTTTTAAGCCAAAAATCATTAGGATATTAAGTAAAGATCATGTTTCATGAAGATATTTTGTAAATTTCCTAACGTAAATATATAAAAACTTCAGTTTTGATTAGTAATATGCATTGCTAAGAACTTAATTTGGACAACTTTAAAAATTATTTTCTCAATATTTAGATTTTTTTTGCACCCTCAGATTCCAGATTTTCAAATAGCTGTATCTCGGCCAAATATTATCCTATCCTAACAAACCATACATCAATGGAAAGCTTATTTATTCAGCTTTCGGATGATTTTCGAAAAATTGAAAACTTAGGACTGGTTTTGAGGTCCATGTTCACATATTACTATAGTAAATGTGACTGGAATCCCATTACAATGACTGGTAATAACAATTATCATTTGTCTATGTCATATAAGATCATTTTGTCAGCTCTAGAAAGTTGTGGGTTAGAAAGTAATAAATTAATTAAATGAAATATAAAAGACTTGCTTTATATTAATAAGATATTAAAGTAAGGCACTGTATGAGTAAGCTAGAAAATCGGTTTCCAGAGAATAATATAAACAAACAACCACTAACAGCAAAACGGGCGTTAAATTTTTTTGAATAAAATAGGTGCAAAACGTTAAACTGATCATACCTAAACAACCGCGTCAGTCATAAGCCCAAAATGTTTACGTAAAGGCCATGCGTGAATCTAGAAACTTCCGGTTTAGTCGAGCCTAAAGCCAAAATAAAAGCCCTACGGTACAGTTCAACAACGTACATCAACATACAATGGCAAAATGTACGTATTTAGAGACACTTTATTAATATTTATTAATGTAACGCTGTGATGTGGGGAGCCCACGAAACGCGTTTTTTCTCTCTCTCGTGTCATACGTCTAACAAAATTCCACGGAACAATTAATTTTCCCAAAATAAAAGGAAAAACGTATTAGAATTGTATTCAACTGCTGTTTTCTAAAGAGAAAAATATATTTGTTGTATGCTCTTACTGCGCCAGCTGCGCTGTTCTTGAGGCGCTTCACTGCTTCCGGGTCTCGTCGTTAGCGGGTGTGAGAGCAGCACGGCTTTGATGACTGACTAGTGTGAATTTCCCGGAGATCTGCGTTAGCTGCGAGTCTCTGCACTGATCAGGTGTTTGTCCCCCGCGAGAGAACAGCGATGGGCTTCCGAAAGAAGAGCAAGAGTCCTCCCGTGCTGAGCCACGAGTTTGTGATCCAGAATCACGCGGATATGGTGTCGTGTGTGGCCATGATCGTTCTGCTGGGGCTCATGTTTGAGGTGATTATTTCCTATATCATAACATCATCATCATCACGCTTGAGCTCACTGTTTACTATTGAACTCATAACATGACATGGAGATCATGTTTGCTTAGTATTAGATCTATATGATATAACATGACCATCATGTTTGGGGGTTTTACTATTAAATTCCTATGATAACATAATTATGCTTGACGTTGTGTTTGTGTGTATATGATGAGCGTCATGTTATTATTTGCTATTAAAATCAACCAGGTCATCAGGTTTATATTTATTTATTTATTATTAAATATTTTTATGTCATGTCACATGGATCAAATTTGAGTTGATTATTTAGATTATTTGAAATTTGATTATTGCAAATGATACTCGTATAGTAACGTATTCATCACATTTTAGGTTATTTTTTGACTCTTACACTCATATAATAACATGATCCTCACATGATATTTTGCATCAGTGCAGTCTGTTCCTGATCCTAAAACCATGGTGTTCATGGATCATAAGAAAACTTGGCAGTTCCAGTGAAGACAAATCGTAATATACTCTTAATAAAATCCCTTAATTTAATTGCCTGCAACAAGACAAGTGTTATTTTAATATTTTAGTGAAACAGCACTAAACATGCTGAATGAAATAATGAAAGCATAAAACGGCTTGATCACATGATCTGACTGTACTTCCTCATTACAGTGATGTCTTCTGACTCTCATCCTTTGTAATATGTTTGTGTATACTTGTTTGTATTAATGTGATTATGTTTTTATTGCAGGTGACGGCAAAATATGCGATCATGTTCATCACAGTACAGTATAATGTCACACAAACCCTGGATACGGGTACGATCTAGATCTTTCAAAGATGCTAACACATTAATAAAACTGTGCAGTCATTGGGGTCCGAGCTGACATCAATTTGACCGCTAGGCATGGGCCGGTATGAGATTTTGATGGTATGATAACCTTAAGCAAAAATTTCACGGTATTACGGTATTGTTGTTACCGCTCTAAAATGTGTTAATTTGAAATGTCTGGGTAAAAAAAAAAAAAAACTGAACAATATATTTTGAGCAACATACAGAATATTTGGAACAGTAGTATTTGTTTGTTTTTCTTTGATTTGTTTCTGAAATGTGGGCTGTCCTGCAGCTTTTGATGTGGATGGTTGATTTGCTGCTAGAGCTACTGCTGCCCTAAAAAGAAGAAAAATAAAGACTGACATCTTTTTTTTAAACAGTTATTTAATTTTAGTTATATAATTCATATACATATCATTTAATATCATTTAGTTATATCATTTCATATACATAATTTGATTTAATAATCCAATTTGAAGCAAAAACAGAATGTTCTGACTAGCTTTGTGAAATTGTACTACATGCCTGAACGAAACAAACAGCGAAGCTCTGAATGGGACGCAGATTCACTCTCTGACAGCAGGAGGCGCTGATACAGCGTTACCTTGGTTATCGCAGTAAACAAAGCAGAGCTGCCTGAAACACTGCTTTAATGTGAATTATACGAGATGAAAAGAAAATACCATCTAAACTTTTCTGAAGACAGTCAATTCCCCTCAGAAACACATTCATATAAACCCCCAAATCAATATTTAGGATTTTCTTCCAATAGTTTGTGTATCATGAACAGTGAGTGATCTGCTTGCTACAGTATTTTTCTCTGTGCGTCTGTCTTCAGCGTCTCTGGCCTGTGTTAACGGGCGTTTACAGACTTCATATTTTCACATAAATGACATTTTGGAAAACGATTGCATTGCAACGTAGTTTGTGCAAGTCCAGAACAAAGACGAGTTGCTTGCAATAAGACAAAAAACGGTCGGTTGCTGATTGCGTAAGTTTCAGGGGAAGCTCCTTAAGTTCGTCCATCCTACACACACGTGACTGACCGCTCGCTCGCACCAACAGGAGGAGGAGCGTCATGTTACTCTCTACACTGCACTCAACCTGAGGGATTCCTACACTTTCAGTCTTTGAGGAGACATGAAAAACAGCGCATACCGCAGGAACGGTATAATGGAAAATATTAGCGGTTTTGAAACCGTGACATTTTCAAATCGCGGTATACCTTGAAACCAGTAATCGGCCCATGCCTAGTGACCGCTATTGCCAATTTTAAATGATAGACTCCTCTCCATAAAATTGATGTGGCTGAACAATTTTCCTGTAAAAATAAATGGCAAGCTTCTGTAAAAACGATTATTTAGATTCTAGTGCTATAAGTGAAAGTGTAAATTCACTCATTATCGCTCTTTTTTTTTTTTGCCTTATATAATTTGCATATTATTGTATATATTTTATCTAGAGCCCGACTGATACATCGTTTTGCCGATATTATCGGCTGATATGAGCCTGTCGCCTGGTGTTTATACAATATAATTTTTTTTTCCTTATATAATTTGCATATTATTGTATATATTTTATCTAGAGCCCGACCGATATATCGTTTTGCCGATATTATCCAGTAGCCCCTCACTGCAGAACAAAGATCCAGGGGGTGGGGTTGGATCCACATCTAGGGAGTGGAGATGGTAGGTTTAGGGGTGGAGACGGGTAGGTTTAGATATATGTAAGGTGGGAGGAGTTGGATCTGGATCCAACCTCGCCCCCTGGATCTTGTGTTCTGCAGTGAGGACCATCTCATATTATCGGCCGATTTGAGCCTGTCGCCTGGTGTTTATACAATAGAAATTTTTTTTTACCTTATATAATTTACATATTATTGTATATATTTTATCTAGAGCCCGACCGATATATCTTTTTGCCGATATTATCGGCCGATATGAGCCTGTCGCCTGTTGTTTATACAATATAATTTGTTTTTTTGACTAATATAATTTGCATATTATTGTATAAATTTTATCGATAACTTACTACGTTGGTCACAGCACTCCATTAAGCCACAATCTACCAATTTTCTTTTGGAAAGTTTTAAATATATTTCAGGCAATTGGTTTACAACTGATCATTGAAGTGGCTTGTATTTGTGGAGAAATGTAATGAATTAAGTGACTTTTGTGAGGAGTATCTACAGATGCGTATAGTTATTCTACTCAACTGAATGAGTGTTTCCGGCACTCATGACATTTCACCACTTATCCCTGGTGGCTTCATCAGTTGTGGAAATGTCACTGTGAAATGTCGGGACATCACAGATCTCGCAAATTCTCCAGTTGAGGCAATTAGCGGAAAGCGTTCCTAAATGAGCCACTCTGCTCGGACCCCTAACGAGTGCATAATGTGGAGTTGAAATCATTTTGGCTCCCTGGGTTTATTCAGATGCAGAGGACAAGCCAGAGCCTTTCAGCTACTACAAATACGGTCCCAAGGACATGGCAACGGTCTTCTTTTACCTGCTCATTGCCATAATCCTTCATGCCCTGATTCAAGAGTACATACTCGACGTAAGTAATGTCATGGATTCTTAGCTTTTGAAATAAAGACGTGTTTAAGATCCTTTTCTTGATCACTAATCTAATGTTCATTTGTGACACTGAGCATATGAACTCCTTTCTACAGAAGCTCACAGGTCCTTCTGTTGAAATGCTCTTTGGGACACTCTTAAATCTTTTACTACCACTTTTCATTGATTACAATACATCCTTGCTGAATAAAAGTATTAATTTCTTTCAAAAAAAGAAAGAAAAAAATTACTGAAACCACAATTTTGAATGCTAGTGTATATTGTTACAAAAGATTTATATTTAAAATAAATGCTGTTCTTTTAAACTTAATTCATCAAAGAATCCTGAAAAAAGTATCACAGGTTCTTGAAAAAAATATTAAGCCGCACAACTGTTTATGTAATAGTCAACAGAATATGTAAGCATATTAGAATGATTTCTGAAGGATCATGTGACACTGAAGACTGGAGTAATGATGAATAATATGAAGTATATTAAAATATTTCACAATATTATTGTTTTTTCTGTATTTCTGATCAAATAAATGCAGCCTTGATGAACGTAAAAAAAAAAAAAACATTTAAAATCTTATATATTTTGTGCTAAATTATTGTGATTTATTTTTTGTCATCTATTACTTGTCAAATCAGGCCTGAAAGCCTGTGTCAGACAGTTTTATCAGTGAAGAGACTTGAAACTAATTTGAATGGTTTCTTCAAATTGCCCTTCATGCACGATCTCGCAAGGCAGTGACCTGATTCTTTTTCCACAGAAAATCAATCGCCGACTTCATTTGTCCAAAACAAAGCACAGCAAGTTCAATGAGTCGGGCCAGCTGGCCACCTTCTACTCGTTCTCCTTCATTTGGGGCTGCAGCATCCTCACCAGTGTAAGAGATCTGTACATCATGTCTCACATCTCTTCTACCCTCATCTGTGCACTGATTAAATGACAGTTTCTCTAATCAACAGGAGGAGTTTGAGACAAATCCGACTTTTCTTTGGGAAGGTTATCCTCATATCCACATGGCGTGAGTGTGAAGTTCTCACAACCCTTTATAAAAAAAGAAATTGTGTCTTAATCGCTAAGCAAAGTAAAAGCATGTGATTTGAGGAATCATCAGTTGTGTGCCTACAGTAAATTCAGTAGTTTTGGTTAATATGTGCTGAATCAGATCACTAACCCTTGCTTGTCTGAGCGATCTCATGACATTAGTGCTTCATCTCTGTTAAGTCAAAGGCTTAGATAACGCCACGTCAAATTGTTACGGTGAAGATCCTTTTCTTTTAAATTGTTCAGCATTATTTAATTCCCTTACACTATATAGAAATGCATTTCCCACCTGCTTTATTAGTAGATATGCAAATGTATGACAGGATTGTCCTTGTTATTTAATAAATCTTTTAATGCATGATTCGCCAAGAGACCTTATTAAGTAAACTTTTAATATATTGCACACGTCATCATTGTCCATTCTTGATTATTGCAGGATCTTAAATGCCTGTAATTAAACTATTTAAAAAAAAAAAAACACTGAACAACTCTGCAAATCCCAACTCAAGCTGCTGAAATTGTAACCTGTCTGTATTAATATTTGTAAGCATTTGACACATTATGAGGCTGACATGCTAATCTACAACCTTCTTTCTGTCTTGTAGTTTCCAAGTGAAGTTTTTCTATATCTGTCAGATTGCCTACTGGTTCCATGCTCTTCCTGAGCTGTATTTTCAGAAAGTACGAAAGGTAAGGCTTAGTTTGTGCAATATACACTGATAGCTGAACCTGACAGAAATAGTTTCTAATACAATGTGGTTCTTGTTGTAGATTATTACATTGACATTGTGTTTATTTCTGTGTTTAGGAGGATATTCCACGCCAACTGTACTACATTTGCCTTTATATATTTCACATCACTGGTGCCTATGTCCTCAAGTGAGTGTTTTCTTATTTCAGGGTGAATTTGCTTTTTTTACGATGAGACTAGTGATAGACCCAAAGCTGCTAGTTCAAGAAAGGCCCTTTTCAAATGAAATGCAAAAAATCGCGCGAATATGAACGTGGTTTTGCGCAGCTCGTCAGTGAACAACGGCTCTGTGTAGTTAATGCTGCTCAATGTGAAAGCACGCAGGTGATGGAGATTTACCGCTGATTACAGAACCGGCTTTACTGATAAGATGTGCGTTAAATATCGCATGCAATTAATCGTGCAGCCCTAGTTAACATTCTGAAATACATTTTTAGACACAATGTTTTCAATTTGGCCTGTTTTTGCTTTTTTATCAATGAAAATTTCCCCGTGAAATCACAGCAGAACTGTTTTGTATCTCTGAGCACCGGAATGAATCTGTGTTTTGAACAAATTTGTTTCATGAATGATTCGACGACCGAATGAATCAGCCATTTGAACGAATCGTTTGAATGAATAACTCAGTGACACGACTCATTTAGAAAGTGACTTGCCACCACGTATTGGCGTTTTTAATTTCATATTTAAAATATAACTTAATTTTTAAAATAATTAAATAGTGTAAATGTGTTCAAGTCACCTCTGACATGTGTAAATTCATCAGAATTGCACTTCAGCTCATTATTATTATTAATGTCTTAAATGCAAGAATTTGACATAAGATGATGCATACACCTAATAGGGTTATGGTGAAAATCTTTTGGAAATCATTTTAAGGGAGCAAATGTTGCATTGTAATGGAAGTTCTGTCACTACTGTGAACTAACCACCGCACAGAATATGAAAATATGAGTGTTTTTATAACACAGCACATGCTGGATGAGTGCAGCGGTAGTGGTTAATTCATAAGGAAGCAGTTTGTGGACGTGTATGTTTGAGTTATTGAGGAGCAGTGTTGGGCAAGTTACTTCCAATATGTAATACATTAAATATTACTAGCTACTGTCTTTTGAAAGTAATTAGTTACATTACAATATTACGGTCTCTGAATTGTTATGCGTTACACTACTTTTGAGTTACATTTGAGTTACTTTCACCAAAATATCCACAGAAGTATTATAAAATGCCAAAATGTTGTTTATTGCTGCTCATTCTATATCCAGTGGAGGGTAATGTGGTAGGTCTATATAGCATAAAATTATAAAATCATATTTAGATACCGGTATGTAGGTCTACATTAATGTTACGTTATAGTTGAGGTTAAACACAGATAAGCACAAACTGTATAATTACATACATAATAACACCGGTAAATAAAGCGAAATGTTATAATGTACAAATAATAAACGCATTACCTAGCCTATAGGCTATTTTGAACAGTTTCAAAAGAAAACAAGAATGAAAATTAATTGCTAAACAGGCCAAAACGAATTAGGCTAATACAATGCGAAACTGAAAGCAAACAGCGTTCTCGCGCAGCCCACCTCTCTCATTCGGCATTAATCCAATTAAATGTGTCCATATTTGCGATGTATTTGAATGCTAAACTATTATTTATGATGTAAACCAGGCTTACTTAACGCGCTTAAAAAACATTCTCGTCACATGAGCAAATGTGTGTTTGGCCTGAGCTTAGGCTGAACGGCATGGATTGTACTACGCAGTACGCACTATTAACCAGTGTATCTATATGTTTGGTTGACTGTACTTTATTCTGAAAATGAACAGGCTGCAACGTTTGCAATGTGTGTGTGTGTGAGGCGCCGGCGCGATCGAACAGCGGAAACAAACAACAAAAATAATACTATGATTTAATAAAAACAAATGTTGTTATTTTTAGTTAAACTTAATTTTGCTTGTCTGCGCTGCGCTCGTCCGCCGTATTTTTCCTCTTCTCCAACCCCGCAGCTCACTCCGATTAGTGTTAGTGGCAACAGTCCAGGTGTTTCCAGGTTTTACTCGTGCTATTTCTCCATGTTGAGAGTTTGGTGTCGCATATATTGCACCTGAATATGCATTCTTATCCTTTTCTCCGATGAACTGAAAATTAAGTGTGTCCATCTCACAAATGTAGAATCCGTCTCTGCAGTCATCTCAACCATCTAATTCCAGCAACAGGAAACAGACAAACTATTTTACCCGCGGAATTTTTTCTCCTATACTGTTTTGCGGTGTTGGTAAATTCACCAATTAATTTTAATTTAAAATGTTGTTGTAACTTGCGTTACTGAGATTGTAACAAGTAATAATATTACCCAAATTGTATTAGTAATGCGTTATATCACTGCGTTACAGCAAAAAGTAATATACTACTGTACTATTATTACTTTTGTAATGCGCTACTCTCAACCCTGTTGATGAGTGAATCTGTCTCGTGTGTCTTCTCTCAGTCTCCACCGTCTGGGTCTGGTTCTTCTGGTGCCACATTATCTGGTAGAGCTGCTCTTCCACGCCTCGCGACTCTTCTACTTCAGTGATGAAAACAAGCAGAAAGGGTGTGTTCACTTCCCGTCTTAAGCCCTCACATCATATTGCACGTATTTCTTGTCATATAGTCATATAATTTTTTTGAGATGGTTTTTGGATTGTTCAAGCTGTTGTTAAGAGGCCTGGCCTGTGTTTGTCTCGTAGGTTCACACTCTGGGCTCTGCTGTTTGTCATCACACGCCTCCTGACGCTCACCGTTTCTGTCCTGACGTTTGGTTTCGGCCTGTCCCGCACTGATAATCAGGGATTCTCTTTAGCAGAAGGAAACTTTAATGTGCTGACTGTCAGGTAAGTCAGCTGGATTTCCCACATGCTTGGCTGCTCTGTGATATTTACTTTTATTTGTTTAGCAGGCAGATGCAATACAAGCGATTCATCCAAAAGAGACTATAATGACAGGAGAGGACAGTAGTCCAGAGCTGGCCAGTAAAGTTCAGGCAGCATGAGCAGTCATGAAGGGTCTGGTCTTCCTTATGTTATGTAGTGGGAATCTGTGGGAATTTGTTTTTCTTGCGGAGCAAAAATGTTCTCTATTGGCTGGAAATTTCGGCCACCTGAGCAAAAACATTCTTTATATATAAAGAATACCAAAGGATAACAGAGCTGTACAGTGCACACACAAAAAAGTATGTAACTTTTAACTTTAATGTGCTATTTATATTTGATTTGACCCTTGATGTAACTAAATGATGCACATTTTAAGTTACCTGAGAAAACATTTTTTATAGTGCTGTTACCAAAAAATACTATAAAAAAAAAACTCACACAGAACAGTTCAATTCTTTATAATATAATATGAAAAAATGAAGCCGTTATTGCTCATGAATTCCCTTTTTGAGGTCAATTATTTATAAGCTTATAATATAATATAATAAAACAAATATTTTCAAAAAACGTGAATATGTGAATTCTTTTACAGAAATCTAAAACATCCTCATTTAGTGGAGTTTGCACACTACTACACCTGTGTTTGACTGTAAATGCTTGTTACCGTTCTGTGCTCATCATCCACTATATTTCCACCACTTAATCAAGCCACTCTTCTTTCAAACATGATGAGGTTTTATTTCACATGTCATTATATTTGCGTTTCTCATGTTGAGCTGTTTCGTCCTCAACCATTAAAGTATTTGATTTCTACAGCGACTCATTTGGCGCACATCATTCTCTTTCTATGAAACCTGTAAACCGCATTCACCAGTTCTAAGAGCGACAACAACTCTATAGCGGTTTGCCCAAACATTGCAGTTATTTCACATTTACTAGAATTGAACCTTTCCCCAACTCATTTTTGCGTCTGTCCTGTGTGCGGCATATTATTTCTTCTGCACACTCGTGACGTAAGAGGTGCGCGGCCGTGCGCACACGCAGCTTAGAGGGACCATTGGTGGTCAGTGATTCGTGTTCTGTGAAAATAAGCTGGTCACCATCTATAGCCCCAAGGTGTCGGGCCGACTTTGATATGTTACTGTGGACAGGTCTGAATTTTGATGTTGTGTTGGCTAGGGATGGATACCGTAAACGGGCCCCGGGGCAAAATTATGAAAGACATTATCGTTATGCTTTCGGTACTGGAGAAATTGAGAAAATACACTTACTATTAATTATTGCTACATAAATGTTATCTTGCAAATTGTATCTCACCATGGGTTACTATATGCGACAATATAAGACATTCACCTATGATGCATTTTCGCTATTCGTGATCCAGAAGAGAGATCTCTCTCGCATATAGTCTCACATGCTACAGAGCAGATTTTTTTGTTGACAATATTTTTTTGACATTCATAAAACAATAACAAAAGAACCGATAAGAATACTGTTAAGCCCAAAGTATACTTCATTTTTTACACATATGTTAACGTGCGCAGTTGATCACACAGCTTTTCAAGGTATTCTCCATTTGGCTCGTATAAAATAGAGTTGCGGACCTCTTTTAATCCCCTCACACATGCACTCGGCAATGCAGGCGGTTGTTGTTTTTTCCACCTTCAGTAGTTTGTTGTTCTTGTTCCATCTCCTCCATTTCTTTTCCGACCGTGAAACAACGGCTTGGTTTATTGTCGACACCTTGTGGACAAACTAAGCAAAAACAATTCGATGTGCATGTGAGAGCTGCGTGTGCATTGAATGCACGGTTAAAAATATTGGGAGGTGCATGTACAGTACGCGTGTACTTTTCTGATGACGAAATTCACGTCATGTGCACTGTGGGCATAACCTAGCATACACGTAGGAAGTGAAGTACACTTTGGGCCGGATCAGATAGATTGATATTGATCAGAGTAGGAATGCTGTTAAAACCTTAATGATACTCATCCCTAGTGCTGACCTTCATGGCGGGATTATGACGAGATTGTATGTGGTTTTCTTTTATCTATGTCTCAGATTTCCACAAGAATTGTATTTGTATTTTGAGTTTAAACAACAGGCAGAGCTTCAAGTCATTAGCATAGCAGGCTGGAAAAGCCATGAGGCTGAATGACTAGTCTCTGTGTAGTTGTGTATATCAAGAATAAGAGAGGGCCAAACACAGAACCCTGAGGGATCCAAGGGTTAGCTGATGTGACTGAGAGCTCTCCCATCCAAGATAGGATCTAACAGTGAGGGTAGGAATCAAATTTGAGATATTCTGAGGCTAAATTTGTGAACGATGACTCTTTTAGGATGACATGCCTGTCAGCCATCTGCCTGACCCAGGCCTGGATGATGTGGAAATTCATCAATTTCCAGCTGAAGAAGTGGAGAGAACAATCTCAAATCCAGGCCAACAAGAAGAAAGCTGTCAGCCCAAAAAGCAGACCCAGCAAGAAGGACTCACGAGGTGAGGCTTTCCTAAAAGTAATTTTACATGTAGATTATAATAAGAACCCTATTTATCTTTCTTTTGTTCACAATTAGACAATACACTTCAGAAGTGTTGCAATAAAAATACCATCTTCATCAGTGGCAGTGAACAATGTTCCTGGAACATTTCCTGTTAGTTGTCAAACTCATTCAAAACAACAGCACTTGGCTCTTTGTTCACAGTGACTCGCTGAATTATGAAACGTCAGCACTCTGGACCATGACGTTCAGTTTCTGCATGCATGGAACTAAGAAGTGAAGAGAGACAACTGTAGGATATGAAGCACACATTTTATCTCTGGTAGATGAATGGAACTAATTGTTAGTTTCATATGTAGAGTTTGTCTAGTTAAGACTGTTCTTTACAGGCTCTTAAAGTAACCTACACAAGTCCCATGCTTGCGGTGTTAGAGGTGCATTCAGTAGTTTGGTGCTAATTTAAAACGTTTTCCACATTAAGAAATCAATCGTTTTTGGGAAGAGTATGAATGGTGTACACTCACACGAGATGAAGAACTACTCATAATAATATTCTATAAGTGTTTTAATTATGTAGGGTGCAGATCGTTAGTGTATTTCACTATGGTACAATGACTTGATCTGCGGATTTAAACATTGAAGAGAATCCTCATACAGTTAGAGAATGGAAAACACTTACTATCGTGCTTTACCAACAAGAGAATCAGAACCTGTATGGCTCAGGAGGCAGAAAAGGGACTGAAGCCAGAAGGGAGAAAAACTGACAAAGACAAAACTGAGCGTAAACATAACTACATACACAAGGTGGACCGATTTCATGACTGAGGAAATCCTGAGTAGTGGTGCCTAAATTGCATCTAAATTGTAAGGGTAAGATAATTAATTGTGTAGTGTGCTCTCTAAAACTCTAAAGGCCTGTTCACACCAAGGACGATAACTATAAAGATAACGATATTGTTCTCAGATTGTTCTCAATATTAAAGAATGGCAGAGTCCACACCGCAGCTATGACGATAAAGGCACAGAGAAACAATATCGTTCAGCCGATGAACGATAAAAACATTACCAACCAATCAGAATCAATCCTGCTATAACGAGCTCGAGAATTTAAAGCGGCAGACGAGCGTGCGCTTGGAATAAACAGGCGATATCGTCCGCTGCTGTAAACGCTTATATCTTTATCTTTATTGTTATCGTTCTTGGAGTGAACGGGCCTTAAAACTAGTGTCGGTGTCCTTTACAGTTGACCCTTCACAAAGACCCACCCCACTTAGTTACTGTTGCTATGTCCGACAAGCCATGGCACTCTCACGCCAAACATCACGTTCTCACGCAGTGAAAAATACAAAGAAAAGAGGACACTGACAACACACCGACAGACAAGACAGAATAGGTTGCTTTAGTAGTATGAAACAAAGTCTTAGCTTTCAAATGTTGTAATTTTTTAAAAAGAATTTCAAACAATAAATACTGTTTTGTGGCTCTTTAATGTGTGGTGACAGATCACTGTAAGAACCCTGAGGGATCCAAGGGTTAGCTGATGTGACTGAGAGCTCTCCCATCCAAGATAGGATCTAACAGTGAGGGTAGGAATCAAATTTGAGATATTCTGAGGCTAAATTTGTGAACGATGACTCTTTTAGGATGACATGCCTGTCAGCCATCTGCCTGACCCAGGCCTGGATGATGTGGAAATTCATCAATTTCCAGCTGAAGAAGTGGAGAGAACAATCTCAAATCCAGGCCAACAAGAAGAAAGCTGTCAGCCCAAAAAGCAGACCCAGCAAGAAGGACTCACGAGGTGAGGCTTTCCTAAAAGTAATTTTACATGTAGATTATAATAAGAACCCTATTTATCTTTCTTTTGTTCACAATTAGACAATACACTTCAGAAGTGTTGCAATAAAAATACCATCTTCATCAGTGGCAGTGAACAATGTTCCTGGAACATTTCCTGTTAGTTGTCAAACTCATTCAAAACAACAGCACTTGGCTCTTTGTTCACAGTGACTCGCTGAATTATGAAACGTCAGCACTCTGGACCATGACGTTCAGTTTCTGCATGCATGGAACTAAGAAGTGAAGAGAGACAACTGTAGGATATGAAGCACACATTTTATCTCTGGTAGATGAATGGAACTAATTGTTAGTTTCATATGTAGAGTTTGTCTAGTTAAGACTGTTCTTTACAGGCTCTTAAAGTAACCTACACAAGTCCCATGCTTGCGGTGTTAGAGGTGCATTCAGTAGTTTGGTGCTAATTTAAAACGTTTTCCACATTAAGAAATCAATCGTTTTTGGGAAGAGTATGAATGGTGTACACTCACACGAGATGAAGAACTACTCATAATAATATTCTATAAGTGTTTTAATTATGTAGGGTGCAGATCGTTAGTGTATTTCACTATGGTACAATGACTTGATCTGCGGATTTAAACATTGAAGAGAATCCTCATACAGTTAGAGAATGGAAAACACTTACTATCGTGCTTTACCAACAAGAGAATCAGAACCTGTATGGCTCAGGAGGCAGAAAAGGGACTGAAGCCAGAAGGGAGAAAAACTGACAAAGACAAAACTGAGCGTAAACATAACTACATACACAAGGTGGACCGATTTCATGACTGAGGAAATCCTGAGTAGTGGTGCCTAAATTGCATCTAAATTGTAAGGGTAAGATAATTAATTGTGTAGTGTGCTCTCTAAAACTCTAAAGGCCTGTTCACACCAAGGACGATAACTATAAAGATAACGATATTGTTCTCAGATTGTTCTCAATATTAAAGAATGGCAGAGTCCACACCGCAGCTATGACGATAAAGGCACAGAGAAACAATATCGTTCAGCCGATGAACGATAAAAACATTACCAACCAATCAGAATCAATCCTGCTATAACGAGCTCGAGAATTTAAAGCGGCAGACGAGCGTGCGCTTGGAATAAACAGGCGATATCGTCCGCTGCTGTAAACGCTTATATCTTTATCTTTATTGTTATCGTTCTTGGAGTGAACGGGCCTTAAAACTAGTGTCGGTGTCCTTTACAGTTGACCCTTCACAAAGACCCACCCCACTTAGTTACTGTTGCTATGTCCGACAAGCCATGGCACTCTCACGCCAAACATCACGTTCTCACGCAGTGAAAAATACAAAGAAAAGAGGACACTGACAACACACCGACAGACAAGACAGAATAGGTTGCTTTAGTAGTATGAAACAAAGTCTTAGCTTTCAAATGTTGTAATTTTTTAAAAAGAATTTCAAACAATAAATACTGTTTTGTGGCTCTTTAATGTGTGGTGACAGATCACTGTAGCGCCTCAGTTCAAGCGGCACGTGAACCGATCATCTCTTCCTCTTTACTGGTTACAGCACACAATAAACATGAATGAACATCAGAAGGGATCTTGTTTCAACTGTGGAAAGACATCAGTTTTTTCAAGTTCAAGTCAATTGACGTTAATCTACTCTCCTGTCTGGTTTGTTTGTCGGACAGAAATGCTCATCCACGTTGATAAATAGCAGTGTATCATCTAACACCGTTCTGATATTGGGAATTGCATGAAGAACAGGGAGGTTAAAGGATTAGTTCACTTCCAGAATAAAAATCTCCTGATAATTTACTCACCCTCACGTCATCTAAGATGTTCACGTCTTTCTTTCTTCAGTCGCAAAGAAATGTAGGTTTTTCAGGAAAACGTTTCAGGATTTTTCTCCATATAATGGACTTCAATGGGCACCAACGGGCTGAAGGTCCAGATTGCAGTTTCAGTGCAGCTTCAAAGGGCTCTACACAATCCCAGCCGAGGAATAAGTGTCTTATCTAGAGAAACCATCGCTCATTTTCTAAAACAAATAAACATTTATATTTTTTTTAACCACAAATGTCTGGTCTGACATGGGGGTGAGTAAATTATCAGGAGATTTTTATTCTGGAAGTGAACTAATCCTTTAAATCTACTAACGAATGCACCTTTAACAGCCTCATTAATTATAATGAGCGATTAAATGTAGGAGTGATTTCGATTTTCCCGAACTTTACTTTGAGAAAATAAGCATCTGAACTATGAAATATGCTTTCATCATCTGTCTTATGTAAAATACACCATGGGGTAATGGTAGACACCTGGATAAGTCATTTCAGATAAATGTTTGATGCATACATCATATTAGTTCTCTAAAATACTGTTCTGTAAAAATACTGCCAGAAATGCTTCAGCACCAGACATGCGCATTGGTGTTGAAATCTCTGTCATTGTTTACATACTTAAAGGGATAGTTCACCCAAAAATGAACATTACCCACCCTCACCCTCAAGCCAAACTAGGTGTATTTGACTTTCTTCTTTCAGATGAATCCAATCGTACACCCCCAAAACAAAATCAAGACTTTGTAAAAGAGCATAATAAGACCCCTTTAAAAATGTCCTGGCTCTTCCAAGCTTTATAATGACAGTGAATGGGTGATATTCAATAGTCCAATAGAATGCCAATAAAGCGCATCCATCCATAATAAAAAGTGCTCCACACAGCTCCTGGGGGTGAATAAAGGCCTTCTGAAGTGATTCGACAACAGTCTAATTAAATGTACGAAATGTTCAAATAAAGCTTTGAAAAAGTTTCATAAAATGGTAAACCTCACATTTCAGCCTTTAAATAAAGAAAAGGATTAAGTCGAAATGATAAATGATTATATGTATTTTATCTGCTCCATAAATAATTCTAGATACCTTATCCGAATTGTTTAAATGTGTAGAATCACATAAGCTTGTTTTTCATCAACTGGTCAACATTTACAGCAGGGCATGCAAATTCAGTCTGTTTTTTGGCCAGACAAAACCTGCAGACAGGCTGAATGTAAATGTCGCTCTCTAAATCCACTCTCTGACAGCAAGTGGTGCTTATGGAACAGCAGAATTAGAGCGGTTTCCCATAACCTCCGTGGACAAAGCATTGCGATAAGAACACTACTTCACTAGGTATTACATGGAGTGAAGATGAAAACAAAATGCCATCAAATCTTTTCTGAAGACCCTTAGCACTCTTTTGAAACCTCCCAGCTTTCCGCCATGTTTTCACTCAAAACTAAACTACTCTGCGCACGTGATACTGTTACTTAAAACTATGCTTTATGCTGGACAGTTTATTTATCCTGAGTTGTTCAAATTGTGGTAATCGAATATAGTTTTAATCCAAATTAAAATATGAACCGGTAATAACTTACTATCCGTGGGGAATTTTATCATGATTTATCGTCAAACCAGTAATCATTTCATCCCTAGTGTACACGTACAGTTAGCGGAAGCTAGAGATTACGGTTTATTAGGGGTGTCCCCAACTAAGGATTTTCATAGTCGAATCGGAATTTTCGAATCTTGCCAATATTCGACTGATAGTCGAATCATATGTTTAGGGGGCGGGGCAAAATACATTACCAAGAGTCAAGTCAGACATTCGAGAGTCATAATTACTGACAGTAACACACAGGGAAAATGTGTAACGGATGCCTCGCAGATACAAACGGGGTAAATAAGGTTTTGTTTTGATTAAAAGATAGTTAACATTAAACGTCAGCGAAACCCTAAGAATTCACAACATTTTTTTACAATAGTGCTCTCATTATAACGTCATGTATATGACAGTAGTTATTAATGTTCTGCATTTCTGTTTTGAGCTGGTCGCGATGAAGATGACCGGTAGAATGAAGCAGCAGGTTTTTAATCAATGGGATTTAACTCATCATTTATCTCATATAGAATACATTTCATTATTTATAAAACATAACACTAATATTACGACTTATAGGCTATCTACACAAAATGCCGCGAATGCACATGAACGTGTCAGTGCGGCTCTGAATTAACTCCTTTACGCGTCCTTCACACAACAACGTGCAGAAACACGGCAACTAAACTCTAAAAATTCGCCGCGTTTTATTATAATAGTGTTCTCATTATAATGTTATGTATATGACAGTCCATTCTGCATTGTTGTTTGTCCTGCTCGCGCTGAAGAGATAATCACTGTAGTACTACAATGAAGCGCTTGCAGCGCAACTCAACCAAATGCATCTTATACGCGATAAATAATATATACACGATATATATAAACCGGCTGAAATGTTTTGAAATCACTTGTACCCTGTCTGATCAAAAAAATCCAGTCTTTCACTCTGTCTGTGTCAGTTTGAGTCTTGTTAAAGTTTTAAATCCCTGCCACCAAGATGCTCCTCTGATTCTTTCTTTTCAGATTCTTATTTACAGCATTATTTTAATAGGCTGTATATTAACTTATTGGGAGAAAACCGGTAGTTATATGTGAAATCAGACATTTGAGCACCCCCATATAGCCAAAATAGCATGATCATAACACCCCGCGAATATTCGACTGTGAGATTGGTATTGAATCAGGCTCCTCCTATCGAATCTTCGACTATCTGGGGTCACCCCTACAGTTTATATAAAGTTGTAAATATGGCAATCATTCTTACACAAACGCATCGATCCGCTTCAGACGGCCTTTATTCATTCCTCTGGAGCCGTGTGAGGAACTTTTTGTGATGGATGGGGTGCGCTTTATTTTGCTTCACAATCTGGACCACTGCCATTATAAAGCTGGGAAGAGCCAGGACATTTTTTTATATAACTCCGATTGGATTCGTCTGAAAGAAGAAAGTCAAATATACCCAGCATGGCTTGAGGGTAAGTAAATCATTTTTGGGTGAACTATCCCTATAAAATGGTTGATACAATTTATGGTTGACTTTGCTAAAAGCTTTTATTTCTCATTGACAGGGGGTTCAGTCAATGGAGTCATGAAACCAGATGACAAGACGTCGCCAAGAGCAAGAAAATCTAAAGCCTCGTAAGAGGACAGAGAGAGCAGCTGCCCGAAATGTGATGCTCTGTTTCCACTCTGAAGTTTAGACGAGAAACAGATTTGATAACTGCAAAAAGAACCACAGAGACAAACTAAGAACTTTGTTGTATGGCACGGTTCAGGTTTTATTGATCTCCTGTTTTTCTGGTCTGCATCTTAAAAATGAACTATAGATTTATAATCAATCATTATATCCATTTGCTCGTGACTTTTAGCCAGACTGAGAGGTTTTCTGAAGGTTGACGTGAAGAGTAGAGGTTGCATCTTCACTCACTTGTTGAGTTTTGTGGTTTGTTGAGTCCAGGATCTGCATGACAGAAAGTCTGTCTTGCTCAGAAGATGAAGCATTTATCCGGCCCTGAACACAACTAAACCCTATTCAGCACCATTTCTGCGCTTCTTATGAAACACACAGTGTGGACAGAAGCTTTTGAGAAGTGTCCTTTGTTAATTGTTAACCTTTAGCCCCTCGGTCCTGAACGCTACTATGAAGCTCAGTGAGCAACTCCAGTATAAAGAGGCTGAGGTGGCGAAGGACTGCAACACAATGTAGCTTTCAAACGACCTTAGCTGTGTGATTTTACATTTTGATACTGAGAGCAGGCAGAACTGATTTTAGCGTCCCGTTTGTGTGTGAATGTCACTTGAGGAGAATCATTTTATAATTGTTTGTAGCGTCTATGTTTGAGATGTTTGTGAGAGCGCCCCCTGCAGGCTTGGATGATGCTGACAACTAGTTTGAGGGTGTGGTTTTGCATCCGTGTTGACGTTGTTTAACATCTGATGACACACACGATCTATGTGTTATTTGTTTGGGCGAAGAGCATGCCTGGATGCCTCCGAGGGGGCAATCGGCGTGCACTGCGAGCATTCACGCATCCATCGATTCCAGCATACGAATTATGCCAACATCGAGGCGATGCGCGAAAGCGGTTATGAGAAGACGCTGGCCAGCTATCTCTCTATGGGTGAGATGTCCTCTAAGACTCCCCTCCTTGACATCTCGCTCGGATGCCAGGGCATGCTTCAGACACGGGTCACGACGAGGCGTTCCCCCATAGCGACCCCTAGAGGACGCAGTGTCTCGTTCCCTACTCAGGGAACCATGGTTACATAAGTAACCTGAGACGTTTTGTTTGATTGCCATCTGTGGAGTTTCTCATGGACTGTGGTTGAGGTGATTAAATGATGGCTCCCCCTGCAGGCTTGGATGATCTATTTCTTTAAGGAATGAAATGCCTTTTTTGCATTTAACCGCCCAGAAGGGTTCACATGCTCTCCCCAGGACTAATAAAGAGCCCAACTGGCCAAGTTTGGTGCCTTGGTGCTTATCATGGCTACCATATGGTTACCGATATAATCCATAGTATGTGCGACAATGGCGATACCGCATGTGATAAGCCTTGGAGCTCATTAAAGATTTTACTGTGACATTGTGTTAGTGTGGATTTTAACTTGAACGCTGTAAAAGCCAACTTTTTGTTTCAAATGAATGGAAAATCTGAAGAGGTTTTGAGCGCAGGAGAACGTCCTCCTCCAGTTAAATTGAGGGGTTGCCATGAGTTTTACAAATGTTTATGAAGCCCTGAATCTCTGATGTGAAGAGTGTTGGAACATCACTTTTTCAACACTTTTGTGGCCTTTTTCCTTACATCTGAGTGATCTGCTCCGGTATCTATCACCTATAACTCTGATAACCATGCTCGACCGTGTCTGTCAGCATGCGGTGTGTAGTTTATATGAAACCATACGATTCTTTAAGTGTCCTTAAGCTAAAGACAGTAAACGTTGCATTCTTTCTCAGTTTGAGCACCGTTGAGTTCTCTTTGCATCTGTGTTGTGTTTATTAGTGTGATGAGAGAGTTTGATATCTTTTCCCTCACTGAAATGCCGTGAACGTGCATGTTGCGAACTGTCAAAGAATTGCCTCACTTGAAGCATTTGATGATGCCTAATAGCAGAAATAAAACTGTAGGCATGGAATTGAAAATGGCGGTTTGTTAAACAGTTTTTTACTTATTTTTTTTTATAAACAAGTGTGAAAGCAAGACAAACTGCCAGTTTATTACTTTATTTTATGAACCCTGTTTTCACAGGGATTATACAGATTCATATACACGCATGTGCTGTGTATCAGTTGCCAAATTATATGGAAGGGACTTGCCGCTCTCTCCCAATTACTTTGGTGTTGTCTGTACATATTAGAAATCATACTTGGTTCTCGGTACAGTTTGTAGGTCAAGTGCCTAAATCTGGCTGCAGAACTGGGTCGATCCGAGTCACTTAAAGGTCCCATATTGTCAAAACTGAAATTTCCCTCCAGCTAGCGCTGTGACGTCGCTGACCCTAGTTACCTGTGGTTGGCCTGGCCGTGCGTCACTCAGAAAACAACAGGCCAATCAGAAGAGAGGCTCATGAATATTAATTAGACAGGCCAAAATCGACCTGTTCTCTGCAGAGCTCCTGAGAAAGGAGCTGTAAAAATATATTGAGATGGTTTTTGGTACTTATACCGCAAATATATATTCTTAAGGACATCAAAACCTCAAATAAAACTCCAGAAAGGTGTACAATATGGGACCTTTAAGTTTGCTTTAGTTCGGTACATTTGTGAAAGAGCCCAGAGATTTCACAGATACTTTCATAGTGACTTCGTAACACTCAGAGGTCATTTTCAATTCAGGGTTTTAAAACTACAATCTGTAATTGCCTTTAGTGACGCTTAATAACATGTGTTGAAACGACACCGACGCCTCCATATACACCTGTACGGATACGGCTCGCACGTATTTAAAAAAAATAAATAAATAAAAAATAAATCTTAAGCTTTGTTTGCAATGCAAAGCTAATTCTTGAAATTCAAGTTGGTGCTGGTTCTTCTATAACAGATGTCGTGTTTGAGGTCTGGAGGACTGAACAGAGGAGTAACTTAGGTTAAATAAATAATAAAATCTCCCATGTTTACACAAAAATGATATTGATTTAGTTTTTGTTCCAAACCTCTAATTAACCCCCATTTCAAAGTAGAATGCTTTGTTTTTCCTCACATCGTTCAGGATTTGTCAAGAGGAAACCTTTTTTTATTTTTGTTTGGTTTTGGGTTTTTGTTTTGTTTTCCGTTTTGTTTGCTGACTGGCAAACGAAACATGAAAGGAACATAATTATATAGAGTAATTCACTACTGAATAATTGTCAGATTTTTAAACTATTTTTATAGCGTTGAACTGTTGAGAGATGAACATTATTTAGAGCATATAAATATTTTACTGCTTTATGGGTTTATTCTTTTTATACTGTGTGGGAGAAGCTTTCTACCATTTCAGTGGGACTGCAAATGACTTTTAGTGGCTATAAATATTGTGAAAAGATTACTGCCGCTGTCCCTGATTTGTCACTGTTTGCTTTGTGTTTTCAATTTGGGGTAAGTCTGTAATCTGTATGGTAAGTCTTCATTTTGTTTTTTATTTTTGAGTAGTGGGATTCTAGTGGATAAAAACAAAGTAATGAGAATAAACTTCACACACTCCCATTGTTCTGTCATGTAAGAGACTAATGGATAACTGGTGTTTTGATGTGGCTTAATTGTTTTCATTTTGTGCATATAAATGTAAATGGAAGAAAAAAAATCACAGAATACATGTTTTTACAACATAATTTGAAGTGATCAGTCATCACCATAATTATTGCTATATGTCAAATTGAAAAGATGCACCAAAGCCTTCTGGAATATCAGATACACAGAACCTATATTATTTTTCACCATGCTTTACATAGTACAAGCACTGTTGCTTTTCTAATGTTTGCCTGTATGTTCAGATATATTGGTTTATATATATATATATATATATAAGATGATATTAATATATGTATTTATGCAAGTCTGTGTGATGCTTTTTGTATGTTTGTCCTTTGATTAAATCTTTTGCTTAACCCTAGTGTGAGCATGTGTTTTGTTGATTTTGACCCCATGCAGGCCTAATGTACTGGTGACTGTACTGCTGAAGTTTCATACTCCTCTAGATCACAGTTCTGTGAGAGACTGCATTCTGATGTCTAAATAACTTGTGAAGATTGTTATCTCATTACGTCACTGCATTGCATGTTTACATCAGCAAGAAGCATTACATTTATAATGCTGGAAGTTAATCTGGTCACTTTGCATCTATTTTCTCAGTACTGTGTACAGAATGCAGTTGTTCGATTGGCAGATCGCAGTGCTCACTGAATGAAACAACCAAATGAAACAAAACTTAAAACATTTCACAAAAAAACAATGGTGTTGATGATTCTTTAAATGATAGTAGATGATTTTTAACTCGTGTGAAGTTATTTTTGACTTCTGTAAAACATAAAAAAACAATATATGATAGAAGGTGTATATTTACAGTGAAAGGGTTTTAGGAAAAAATAAAAAGATATGTATGATACATATCTTTTTCTTTTGAGTCACAAAGATATCTCAGAGTAAGACTTTATGAATGTCAAGTTGTAGACTGAAAGAAAAAAATCAAAAGAGTTCAATTATGGATAGTTATGTTCATGTATGTATAGTTCCGTTCTTTCATGCATTTTTTTAACTTATTTTTTACAAAGCAGGCAACTGTAGGAATATTATTGAATGTCTTAACAGTTCAGCGATCCCTGCTCACGGTATATTCATAGAAGTGCACTTGACTGATGATAGCATATATTTGTATAAATAAATCGAAATCTTATAAGGTATGAAAAGTATGAAAGAGTGTGAAATTAAAATGCATGTAAAAATATTATAAACAATATTTACAATATCTTTACTCTCAATTGAATGAACAGTGGTGGGGACCCTATAATTGATGAGCAAACTCAAAATAATCACTTAGTAATTCAATAATGCAAAGCACTATAATTTTCAATACAATTTTAAGTTGTATTTACACAGAATTATAAAATGGTTGAAATGTTGTTGATTTGATTTTTAAAAAATAAGAATAGCTCATCCTTTCAAATAATATCAAAAATAAAATAATAATAATAAAATAAAATACATAAAAGGAAAAAAAATCTAAATAGCAGATCATTAAAAATAATTATTAGAAACTACCCCTCTCACTGTATCTGGCTTCACCGGTTTCCCCGCAGTGGGCAGCAGATGTCACTACTAGATAAAAGCTGTTTCTGTGAAACATGGAGGCTCAAACCAAGCCACTAGAAGGCATGTAAAGCGTAACGGCTAATGCTAACGCTTCTGGTTTGCCAGTATGTGGGAAAGGAGACCGGAGGCCATTTTTATTTTTGAATGGATGTCAATGTAGGAGAGGCTTCACTACGCGGAATAAACAGCTTTTTAGAGGAAACAGCGTATCATTTAATGAATCGACAGCCTATCAGCTAATCTCCAACATGTTTTACACTAAACAGTACTTTTGGATTGAACTATTTTTTAGAGTTTACACCGGAAAAAAATTCAGTTTTATAAGAGAAGTCACGGACTTTTTGCGACAGATTGGATAGAGTTTACGGCACTCTCATTTATTCCTATGCTATCCGTAAACGGCGATTGAGTGTCGCACAACTCTGTTGCTGCGTCCCAATGTGCCTACGTAGGCCATGTCCACACGTACATGGGTATTTTTAAAAACGTTAAAAATAGGAGTTTTTCCTTCTTCCGTTTAAAAAAAAATCTCCGTCCACACGAGAACGCAAACGCATGCTAGGACGCACTGTCAAGAGCATTCCTAACCAACAGATGGCGATATAATCTCAACCGTAA